CTGCAAGTTCCAAGACAGGTTGGTGCAGCGTCAGCTGTTCGGGGTCTGCATCCCTTGTTTAACATACTCAGTAATGTTAAGTATTATTTTGATGTACTGTTTTCATGTTTCTTGCAATCAATTGTGTCTATGGCTTTATGGCTGTATGATTCCAGATAGGACGTAAAATAGCTGCATATTTACAAAGCTATGTTAATTACCTCTCCTTGGGGTCATTTCAAGTTCGCAGTACGTATTTTCAGCACCTGGAACATAATACATACTTACTTGCCAAAGGCAAAATACAACACAAAATGCACTTATTCTCAACCTCTGAATTTCTTGAGCACTTATGTAAATTTACCTTTGCTCCTATTCCAGACATGATGGACTTTTGCTCGAACAACGGGGAGAGTAAACCCTTGACTTGAAATGTATAACAACGTATAATAACGGATGCAAATATACACACATATACGTAGATATGCATGCTTACGGGGTATACGTTATTCGCAAAATAAGATATTGGCGCTATACCTCCACTCGGCCGTTCATGTCACTCAGTATATGCTATATATAATGTTGGTGCCATACCTCCACTTGGCCGTACACGTCACTGAGTATATGCTTTGTATGGTATCGGTGCTATACCTGCACTTGGCCGTTCGTATCTCTCAGTATATGCTGTATATAATATTGATACTATACCTGCACTTGGCCGCTCCATGTTCTCGTAATTCTGCCTTCGTCTCGCACCATCTGCACTGGACGCCTGGCCAGGTCTAGTTTACATGCCAAATCAAAACTGAATATTTTACAACATGTGCTCAAATGAACTATATAGTCTTGTTTTGCCTCATCTCACACTAGAAAATAAGAAACATCTATTTTCAAAGATATGGTTCTTGTTGTTTCTTTTTACAAGTTTTCCGCAATTTTGTCAGTGCGTTATATTATTGTTAAAGCTGTAAACAAAGAGCTACAACATTATCGAATAATTTGTTTTATTGGTACACACGTTATGTAATTTAATCTGTCCTAAGAAATTATACATTGTTTTAAAATGTTGTTTTCTTACTTCTTTAACCAGCTTGCATTTTATTTAAAAACAATAAATACAAACAAGCTTAAACTCGCCCAGTTATTTATTCCCACAATTATGAATAATTTATGTACACACGTAAATTTAATCTGTCCTAAGAAATTATACATTGTTTTAAAAGTTATGCATTTTATTTAAAAATCAAATACAAAGCTAAACTTAGCACATGTAAGTCGTTATTTACTTTTGCAGATTACAAAGAACAGTTATTTTGCCCCACTTCGTTTTGTCAATTAATAACCAAAACACTCGCTAACCGTTTTTGTCTTTTCACCAACTGTATATTTTAGATAGATGATGGCAGATTGTCAAGAATTCTAGGAAACTATGGGTATGTTGACATAAGTGCCAAAGTCTTCTTATAGAGGAGTGACGTAGGACATGTTGGTAAAATGTAATGGTTCTGGTTTTAGAATATTTAACAATATATTGAAGACATATAATGTGTATGTTCCAGTGAGTGAGTGAGTGAGTTTAGGTTTACGCCGCACTCAGCAATATTCCATCTATATGGCGGCGGTCTGTAAATAATCGAGTCTGGACCATACAATTCAGTGATCAACAGCATGAACATCGATCTGCGCAATTGGGAACCGATGACATGTGTCAACCAAGCCAGCGAGCCTGACTACTTGATCCCGTTAGTCGCCTCTTGCGACAAGCATGGATTACTGAAGATCAATTCTAACCCGGATCTTCACGTGTAGCACAATCGGTCCCAGTTTGTGATACTTTGCGTAAAAGGAACCGAATATGTAATTGGAAGAATACAGTACTTAACAAATATGCTTTCCAAAAATGAAGACAATTAGAAATTTAAAGTTAAATGTTGTGGTGAGAAAGTTAATAGTTTTATGCAGCAATATTCCAGCAATATCACGGTGAGGAGACCTGAAATGGGCTCAAAACGTCTTCATTTTTGGAAAGCATAGTTTTAATGCCGCTTTCGGCGTGTCGAGCGAACGCTATTCCAGCAATATCACGGCGGGGACACCTGAAATGGGCTCTCGGTGGTAGAGAGAACAGACCAGCGGTGATAATACTGTGAGAAATTGCGGGATAATAACTATAAATACATACGGAATTGATTAAACAACTCACTCACTCACATATACTAGGCACATAAAGAAACTATGCATACAAACATTTAAAATATAAATTTATCAAACCTGTGTAGACACATAAGGATTCAAACTCGGAGATTAGTGACATGTATCCAACATGCATGCACGTGCCAGGTTCCGGGACGTCAGTGGGTTCGTCCTTGAGACGTGCAATACGTTGTTGAACGTGCTTTCCGGGAATGGGAAACAGAGCAAATGAATGCCACACAATACTGTCACTTTGGAAAGCTCAACCCCTGCCCTTGCGATCGTTCAACAAACTAAACGGCTATTGAAACGCATAGCATGCCAAGGCTCACGTCTGCACAACGTCATGAGGCCATTGGGATGGTCCGTGGGGGAATGTCTCAACGACAAGTGGCTGCACATTTCCACTGCCACCGGAACACCATTTCTGCACTGGTGAGACGCTACCAGAACACAACTGACGTCATCGATCGGCCACGTTCTGGACGTCCACGTGTTACAACGCCAAGACAGGACAGATGGATAAGGCTGACCCATCTTCGCCACAGGTTTCAGACTGCAGTAATGACTGCCCGAACCATCCCAGGACTTCGCCGTATCCAACCCAACACAGTTCGACAACGTTTACGTCATCACGGGATCAGACCAGGATGGCCCGCCATACGGCCTATCCTGACACAACGTCATCGACAAGCTCGCCGAATGTGGTGCTGAAATCATGTCCGCAGACCCTTGTTTTGGTGGAGAAATGTTGTTTTTACAGATGTGTCCAGGTTTAACATTTCCCATAGTGATGGACGTCAACGTGCCTATGGACGCATGGGAGAACGTTATGCACAGGCCTGGTTCCGTGATGATTTGGGGTGGAATAACAGCACGCCAAAGAACTCCTTTGGTGATTGTTCAGGGCAACTGAACTGGTGTGGGCTACAGGGATCAGATTCTTCGACCTGTGGCAATTCCTTTTCTGCAACGTCATGGCCCTGGGTTAACATTCCAACAGGACAATGCCCGCCCTCATACGGCAAGGGTTGCTATGGCTTTCTTGCAACACCACAACGTTGACTAACTGCCTTGGCCTGCAAAGTCACCTGATCTCTCCCCGATAGAGCATGTTTGGGACGAGATGGATCGACGTCTACGCCGTCTTCCTCATCCGCCAGATAACGTCCTTGACCTTGCAACAGAACTTGAGAGAATCTGGCGTGACATCCCACAAGCCTTCCTTGCACGTTTGATAGGCTCTATGCGTCGTCGATGCACTGCTGTTCTCAATGCCGGTGGTGGATATACCCGTTATTGAGCTTGTGACATGGTCGTTTGACCCCTGTCCCGCTTGTTGACTCGTGACGTCATTGTGATTGACTTTTCAATTGAAATTCTCCCGACTTGTTATGGTCTCATGATCCCTCCATTAAAGTTTATATGTACCTTTGACATTGTTATTGTATTTATCAACTGGGATAATATGTTGACAATACACAGTTTCTTTATGTGGCTAGTATATATACACACATGCAGAACACCTACCTCTGTGAGTTCGCTTCTGGTTTATTATCAGCTAGAAATAGATAAGCATTTGTCAGTGTCGTGTTCGGGACAACACCATTCTATTCAACAAAGCTTAATATTACTGAGATATGTCCTTATGCACAGTATTGTTGAAGTAAATGTTAACTAGCGAACATCTTTTGTATCTATGCGCATGTTTTATGTTACTCAAGTTTTACCACAAATACACTTACGTTTTGCAGTCTGCATTCTCCTCCTCTGGTAGATAATGTTGATGATGAGGATGAGGGTGATAACTATGCCCACAGATCCTGTTGCTATGACAGTCACTTTATTTGTGCTTGTAATGTCGTCATTCCCGATCAAAGAGGAAGATTGCACTGCGACAGAACATATCACAATGAAAAGTTGCCAATGAAAAGTTACTCCATGTGAAGATGTATGGTGGGTTTTGTCTGATACATTTGATAATATGCCAAGGAAAAAGCATTTACTCACAGACTTCGATGCTTGTTTGAACAGAAGATGTCCCTTGTTCATTAGTGGCAGAGCACGATAGGTTCCCCGAATCAGAAGATGACACGTGTTTCAGAAATGTCTGTCCGTAACTGATATCGCCGTTGTGACGCCACATGTAGGAGGTGACGGCAGGGTTTGCATCGTCAACGACACATTCAACTTCAACAGCATCCCCAACCATGACACTGATGACATCTGGCCTTGTTGACAGGTGGATCTCCGGTGGATCTTATGTCAGACACAAGATTCCAGTTCATGTTGTACAAAATTCTAATAAAAACACGACACCGCACATGCAAACTACACAAATTATCTTGAACCCATTGTACCCAATGAAAACACACCATCAGGTCAATACAAAGAAGAAAAGCTAAATACCAAAGAGAAATTTCTGGTTTCTGTCAAATAAATTTTAATTCAACTTCAACTTCCTTGGATTAAGAGAGGGTAGATTATCACTGACCCAAAGACACAGTAACGTATTTTAATGTATTCCAAGTCTTTTAGCGACCAAAAACATCCACTGACCTGATGAAACAGCATTTTAATATATTCCAAGCCTTCAGTAAACATTGCGAGTTTACATACACTGGTACCAGGTAAGTCAATCTAATATTTGAGCATAATTATATGAACTATTGATATTAATAATGACCTGACTATCGATTATTACCATATTTATAATACGTTTACAATTAATCTGAATGATAACACTGAATTAACGTCATTGAATCCTCAATGAAATTCCCCGATATGAATCAAGTAAACGATACTATGAAGTGAAAAGTTGCTCTTACATTTTACATTTATAGTTGCATCTGCCCGTCCAGGCGTCATCATGTGTCCATTGTCCACTGTGCAGGACAATCGTCCACTGTCAGCTTTGGTCACGTTCTGAATGAGGATAGTTTCCTCGGTACTTGTTTCTCCATTGTGGGACCATCTGAATGTGTGGACACTAGGGTTGGCGTCATCCGCTACACACTGCACACGGAGGTCGTCACCGACACCAACATCAATGGTGTCATTTCCCGGCTCCAGATGTAGCTCTGGCGGGTCTGGAGACAAACATATATATTATTTCTTGGCATTATTTGATAATGCACGCTATCAGTTCAACAGTATCATATGAACCTAATTTGTGAAAGGAACATGGAATAGTAATATTGAACCAACAAGAACTTTCGGCTCTTGTGACCGTGTGAACGTTTGCGAAGATAATCCTTGCTGTTAATATTAAACATCCGAATTTTGTTGCCTCAATGAATCAAACTGTAGCACCATTTCTTTATGAATGGTTTACCATAATTCCCAAACATACTTATAGAGTGACCTGGGTGTACATTTGCGAATGTCTGCTATAGTGTTCTACTAAATGTTTAATAAATTATATAAGTGTAGATAAACAATCGGAAATAGTGGAGTGAAATGGAGCAAACTGCATTTCCTGACTGTATTGGTGGCACAGGTGGTCAAGTGGTCCTCCTGACTGTATTGGTGGCACAGGTGGTCAAGTGGTCCTCAACGATGTAAACCTGCAAGACCTCCCAGACACCTATTGTCGTGAACTGGGTTCCATAGTTACCATGACTACGATCATTCACTCGTCAGCAGCATACCAAGGCTCGTGGAACTAAATCTCTCGATCTAAATTCCCCATCAAGCATCGAGTTTGCTTTCCAAATCAAGATCACAAGATGTTCAGAGCGGCCTTAAAGCCTGCATGTCACAAAGGAATCTCTGCTAGTTTTACCCTTTTAACGTCTTATTAATACACTGTAATTTCTCTTGTGATTGTAATATGTCATGACTTTAATGACAATATGCCGTGAAACACTCACACCACACGTTGATTCGAGTGAACGCCCTCGCATTCTGGACACTGCATGTCAGTGTGCCCGAGTCAGACTTGGATGTTATTGTTTTACTGAATGTTTGTCCACTGTAGGAACGTCCGCTGTGTGTCCAGTTGAACGACGTGACGGGAGAGTTGGAGTAATCGACCACACACTTGACACTGATTGGCTGCCCGAGAAAGACGTTGAGGACACTACCTGGTGGCTCCAGGTGGATACTCTTAGTATCTGAAAGAAATGAAACATGAGCCAATATTTAAATTAAACCGAAACAGGAATGCAAATATAGGCTCTACATTTCAGCTCCACGTGTAGCTGAAAGTAAATATTCCAAATACATACCACTGTCCCATGAATAACCCATTCTATCATTACTGTCTAAACCTTTCCTCTACGACGTAGCACTGCAGATCACTACTGTGTCAAACCTATCTCCAAAACCTGTTCCCCAATATCACAGCATTGCCAAGCCCACGTTATACCGTCAAAGATCACTATTGTGCCGAACCCACCACCACGTCATACCGTCAAAGATCACTATTGTGCCGAGCCCACCACCACGTCATACCGTCAAAGATCACTATTGTGCCGAGCCCACCATCACGTCATACCGTCAAAGATCACTATCCACCACATCATACCGTCAAAGAGATCACTATTGTGCCGAGCCCACCACCACGTCATACCGTCAAAGATCACTATTGTGCCGAGCCCACCACCACGTCATACCGTCAAAGATCACTATTGTGCCGAGCCCACCACCACGTCATACCGTCAAAGATCACTATTGTGCCGAGCCCACCACCACGTCATACCGTCAAAGATCACTATTGTGCCGAGCCCACCACCACGTCATACCGTCAAAGATCACACTATTGTGCTATTATTCGAGCCCACCACCACGTCATACCGTCAAAGATCACTATTGTGCCGAACCCACCATCACGTCATACCGTCAAAGATAACTTTTGTGCCAAACCTTCCTCCTCGACAAAGCGTCAACGATAAGTACTGTGCTCAACCTCCCCACATAATACCATCAAAGATCACTACTGTGACAAACCCACCACCATGTAATATCGTCAAAGATCACTAGTGTGCTCAACCTACCTCCACGACATACCACTCCGACATCACTACTGTGGGAACAGCCTGGTGCTGTTCCCCAACCAGAGTGGGAACACTCGTCTAGGGAGGTCTCTGTCCCCGAACAGTCGACGTTACTCAGCCAAATAAGTCCTTCACCTGCACCATAAGACGTTGTCACATAGGCTGTTGTCCTAAAACAAAGATTCCTAAAGATCATAACAAACCAAATTGATAAATGTTCGTCATTTTCATTTTCACAGAACCGCATGCTCTGCAAGATGATTATCTAATGCCGAGTAAAGAACCGACTGTAGTTTCCAGTTATTGATGGGACCGATTTAAGGAACTTGATTGCACTTACACTAGGTAAATGGTGGCACAAAACAAAGTACAGCAGACATAAACACAGACTGCACCCTGGTCCTAAACAAATAAAATCTTAGATTTCTGATGACTGTGTCACACACATGACACTTGGTTAAACGTTGCTTGTTCAGGGCTACAAGTTTTAAGCTCTCGCCAAAACATTCATAATACTTTTTGAAATTAGAGGTCAAATGTCCAATGGAATTTTTTGTTTTGCTCTCCATACAATTACGATTTCAGTGTCAACCATTGACCTGCCTTTTACTCTTTTTTTGTGATGGGTGCTACTGGTGTAGACGTTTACATTTACCTATTCACCTGGTATCATCACTATTTGGTCGTTATTCAGAAGTACCTTCTATGACCCAGCAAGAATGGACTATAACCCATAGAAAATATACCATGGAATGGGTTGCCGATTCGTTAAGATTATGGAAATCATGTTGTAGCTTTTATCCGAAAATTTGTTTATTGTCTTGCCATAGAATCTGGGATACACCAATATACTAAACTTCTGTAGTTTATAAATCTGCACATGCCATTGTCACCCTTTCGTAACTGACCACATAATGCACATGTATGCTTATTTGTAAGACGTTCCCGGATATTTCAAATATGACCATCTACAACCTCGGGTGATTGGAAATAGCAAGTATCACTGTAATGGGTGTTTCCCGCGAGGCTCTCACTCGTGCTGTAAAATGGCACATGACAATGCAACACTGACATATAATTTCTAGTAGAAATCACCTGTTCAACATAATAGATGCAATTTTATGGATGACAGCTTCAATGTACTGTTCGAGTGACGTGTCGTTATTGATTCTTATACTGTTGTCCAGCAAGAGAAGTGTTGCCGAGTAATAAGAGAAAACAATGAGAAAATAATTGAAATATCGACAATGGTAGAAACATCGAAGCAACAAGAAAGAAACATAAGATTTCAAGTTTGGGGAACAAATAATTGAAATAATGTGAATGTTTGGTAAAGGTTGTAGTTTCATAGTCAGGTTGTACTGGGAGTTTTGAAGTAAGTAAGAATACTGGTATGAATCTTGCTCTGAACGAAGGTTTAGTCGTGTGAAGATGTAGTTACCAGGGAAGATTTGCCATTTTACACACAACTTGTGCCTCCTGTGAGGAAAACGACGACCCTCTACAGACTGTTCCCCAGACATTGTTGTGTAGTACTTCTACCCGTCCCCGTCCACGAGTTGTCGAGTTCAAGCGTATTTGAAGATTAGCTGGAACAAACAATGCAAGAACAGGTACAAAAACACATAATATTGCAGTATTGACAGACAATTATGCTTACCATCAGGACACTGTATTCGGACTACTGGTGATGACGAGGTAACACTACCCCAAGGGTAATGAAGACAATCGTTCAGGGAGAGTTCAGTGCCAAGACAATGGAACTTTTCAACGATAACACTTCGTGATTCGCTGCCAGTGTTTGAAGATGCGCTGGCTTTGGCTGCAATGCTAAATATCAAATAGTGTATCACAATGATTCAAAACATGTGCAGGGATCATTGGAAAAGTGGTCAAATGGGTGTAAAACATGTGTCTTATTATTTCAACAGAGTACTTACTGGGCACAAAAATATTTTGCTATATTAAGTTATAATAATGTGTAGTTTTCAGACAAGTAGAAGTAATTCAATCGAGTTATATGTCTTACGTGTTGTGTCCCAACATTCTGCAGGCAACTGTTGCCTCTTCAACTCCAAACCCAGAGTAGAGGACTCTTCCCCACTGTCCGCTATAGTACAGCTCCAGAACACCTGGCATGTTGGTGGTGGAGACAAGTCTTGCCGCTGTAGCCTCTGAGGAAGACATGATGATGACATTATTTGGACAAATGTGTAGGTATCACTTGTTGGTTTGACTCCAGAAACTGTATACGTGTCAATCCCAACGCCGTTGATTCGTTAATGAACACATACTCATAATATCGACGGCAACGTTCAAAGGGCCCTTTCCCCAGCTGTTTTACATGACCATATGAATTTATGTTCATCATTGCATATACATCCATGTTCACAGAAATTGGCATTCTGAATTGGGCAAACTGTAAACACGATATTAACTTTTGTGTTTCACCACTCTTAAATATTCTTGTATTGAAGTTCCCGAAACACTACGGCCATCAAGTTGGCCTTACTAATGCATATTTACTATATTCTGATTTTGAGATTTTTTACTTCTCCGGTGAATGCGAAGACCGGTTTTAAATAAAAGCTTGTCTATAATGACAAGTAACCATTGTAGGATTCCTACAATATCATAGGCGCACGTTGTTTATGAATCACTAACTGGACAGGTAATGGAAGAAAGTGTTCGCAATTACGGTAGTATCCAACCGATGTTACCTGCCAAAAACTTCATTTGCAAATATTTGTCTAGTACCTCAGGTTCCCACCAGCAATACGTCGGCCTACAAAGGAGTGTGAGCAAACATCCACTGATCGATACTTCAATCAGCCATCCATAGCATACCTTCAGGAAATGAAAAACACTCGACACCAACAGCTTCAGAGTCGAAACAGTTATTCACCCCCCAGGGCCTGTGCTTGCAGTCCTTTAGATGTGTGTTCTGCAGCGTGCAGTCCACATCATCCAGCCACATTTTAATGGAACTGGTTTTATCGAGGTCCTTACCCCCTCTGTAAAGATAGGAAGAAAAGATACATTTGCAAATCTAATACTTTTTCATCTAAATTAAATATTAGAGGAGTCATGGGTGGTGCAGATCCTATATATATATATATATACATATATATATATATATATATAATATACTACTATAACTTTCGTGAAACCCATGAAGATAAATCTGGCACTGAAAATATATATTCATCTATTCTATCAATGTGCACTCGAGTTTTCTTAATTTTAAAATCACTTAATATGAAAATATTATTTAATTATTAAAATATTATTAAAAGATAATTATTAAGATAATTACTTAATTTAAAAAACGACGCTTTGAGCAATATTCCAGCAATATCACAGCAGGGACGCCAGAAATGGATTTCACACATCGTTCCCACATAGGGAATCGAACCCGGACCTTCGGCGTGACACACCACCGCTTTAACCACTAGGCTACCCCACCACCCTGGTTTTAAGGGGCTTGATCTACGGTCATATTACAATCTCAACCTGACGGGTACAAACAAGCACCACACTTGCCACAAACTGTGTCAGGACCAAACACCCTCTCAGTGATGTCTCATTTTACACCGCGACTCAAAACCGTACTATTATCATTTTAATACAAGTGCATTGATGTGTAATTTGCATTACTTAAGATCCCTGTAATAAATAACTATAAGGTACAGAGAATTCAAGATATAATATTACAAATGTGCCGATCTTGCAGATCTTACCCATCTTTATACATGCTATGTCTTAATCTGTTTGAGATAATAAATATATGGACACAGAGCATCCCTGTGATAATTACACTCAAGGTAGACAATTCAATATATAATATGACAAATCTGCACAGCACCGATGTACAATACATGCTATTTTCATCTGTTTGAGAAACCCAGAAAATAAACTGATATTGTCTGTGTTTTTTAACTTATCCTAAGTTAATAATCCTTGGTTGATGGATTAAGTTAAGGGTAATCTCTTAATTAACTGATTTGGGTAAAATAGACATTTAACTAACACTCACTGGTATCCGAGAGCTCTGCAAACCACGGAAGCCTCTACCTGCCCAAAGCCATCATCACACACTGTTCCCCAGCTACCGGAGTGGAGTACCTGCAGGAGTCCACTTTTGTAGCTTGTCAGCTTCATGGTTATGTCACCTAGTGAAGCAGTACGACGAAAAACATTAAATTTTCTGTTCAGATTCGTGTAGAAAGGAACCACATAGGCTAACTTCTAGACAAATTATCTCACCTAGTAAAGCAACATAACGAGAAACATTAACTACTTTCTTGCCGCATCTTTAAATAAGTACTTGAGGTGACCACCAGATCCTGTAATCGCTGCAATACCCTTTCTTAGCACAGGCTGCATGGGTCGACCGATTCTGTGCAGAATTCTCCCCTATATTCATCTTGTAATGTGATGGTCACTTGAGTAAGACTAAGATCTGGATACCTGGAAGACTATTACAAGATACTGACGCTTGAAGTACAATGGCAGTTGACAGCCACATCAGCTGTGTGCTATCATGTTGAAACAACCACAGTTAACCATTCTTAGTGGGAGGGCATTATACACGTTCGAGGCCGAGATGTGGCCAAGGATCTAGAAGGGTCCGGGAATTTTGTAAAATTATATGCTCTCAGATGCTATTTCCTGCTTTCGGAATGTGAATTGGCTCGATTTATGTAATCTCCAATATTGTATAAAATATATGTTTTCCCGCTACGTTTGACCAAATGGTTTCATGGTTGTTTTTTTAAATTGATCACAATTGTAGCATCTGTTCATAATGTTCTTAATTAAACTTTATAAATATGTTTAGACATATATGTATATATGCAAAACAGCTGTTTTGTTCAGTTCAGTATTAATATAAAATAGTTGTATTATTAAATTCAGTTGACAGTCCAGTGATGGTTAGTGAAATTTACATCATACCAAGAGAGATGCGAGTGGGTGTTACATAATGACGGAGCACTACATGGTCGTGAGACCACGTGTTTGGTACAGATTGAGTTGTAGCACTTTACAGTTAGGCTAATTTTATCCATGTTTAAACCTCAAGAATACATGATATCTTCAGGTTTGTTCAATATTTTGGAGTCATGTGGATTGAATGCAATCCTTCTTTCTGATTAAGTCTTTTGTTTGTTAATTATCATTAGGTATTGCAAAATATGTCTTCAGTTCATAGGGTTCCGGTTTGTCTATGTCATGATCATTGCTTATATGTAATTAGCTGTATCATTCTGGTACCAATCATCTGTCTGATGGGCTGTCCGCCATCTTTGCGTCTTTGGATTTCGGGGGGCAGGCGCTCTACACTATAGATTTCCAGTCACTAAAGGTGGATCACCTTGCTAATGTCCATGGGATTTGCGCATGTAGGATACCTCTGTCTGTCGACCTGTCGATTGCCGTTTTAACGAAAACGTTCATTATGACGTCGGCAGACACGTCATCTTCCATCTCTGCACTGGAACAGACTCTCAGACTCCCAGACCAGTTTCTCAGCGACGATGCCTGTGGGGTGTTATTCCCACGCAAACGTTGTCGTGCATGCAAACGTCTCAATGCAAGAACAAATACCGATCTTCTGGACACAAGATTCGGGGTAGAATTGGTCTTCAGCAACACATGCTTGTCGTAAGAGGCGACTAACGGGCTTGGTGCTGAGGCTCGTGAAGGTCGGTAGATCGATACTCCCGCTGTTGATCACTGGCTTGGCTGGTCCAGACTCGATTATGTACAGACCACCGTCATATAGGATTTTTTGTGTTTTTTTAAATTTATTCCAACAAATCAGGTTACAAGCAGGGGTGAAATCATTGACAATGGATACAAATGAGTAGCAAATGAGTAACAGTTCTGAGTTCAAACAATCAATGACAATGTTCACATACAAATGGGTGTTAACACAAGTAGGCCTTACAAACAGGGTTAAGTTGTGATTGGATAACAAATCACTGTCAAAGTGAATGAATAATGTTACAGGGTTATGGCAAATACGTTCAAAGCGAATGTCACAGACATCATTGTATGGAAGTGTGATTTTAAAAAAAATATAAAATTAAATGGATAAGAACTATACAGCCAAAGCATATAGACACAAAGCATTTAGACACAAAGCATATAGACACAAAGCGTATAGACACAAAGCATATAGACACAAAGCGTATAGACACAAAGCGTATAGACACAAAGCATATAGACACAAAGCATACAGACACAAAGCATATAGACACAAAGCGTATAGACACAAAGCATATAGACACAAAGCATATAGACACAAAGCGTACAGACACAAAGCATATAGACACAAAGCATATAGACACAAAGCATATAGACACAAAGCATACAGACACAAAGCATATAGACACAAAGCGTATAGACACAAAGCGTATAGACACAAAGCATATAGACACAAAGCATACAGACACAAAGCCAGTATAGACACAAAGCATATAGACATAAAGCATACAGACACAAAGCGTATAGACACAAAGCATATAGACACAAAGCATATAGACACAAAGCATACAGACACAAAGCATACAGACACAAAGCGTATAGACACAAAGCATATAGACACAAAGCATACAGACACAAAGCGTATAGACACAAAAGCATATAGACACAAAGCATATAGACACAAAGCAAAGCATACAGACACAAAGCTGCATAGGACACAAAGCATATAGACACAAAGCATATAGACACAAAGCATACAGACACAAAGCATATAGACACAAAGCATATAGACACAAAGCATATAGACACAAAGCATATAGACACAAAGCATATAGACACAAAGCATATAGACACAAAGCATATAGACACAAACCATACAGACACAAAAGCGTATAGACACAAAGCATATAGACACAAAGCATATAGACACAAAGCATATAGACACAAAGCGTATCATAAGAATGATCAAACCGAGGTAAAATGTTTTTGAAAGACATAAAGTCAGGTGATTTCTTCATAGATGTCTGACAGAGAAAGCCTTTTTAATTTAAACGCAGCCCCTTTATTATTCTTGCGAGCAATGAATTTTTCAATAAAGTATATCTGTTTGAAAATTTACAGTACTGTTTCAAATGAAAGGGTTGTTTTTTTAAGAATACTTAAGAATACATGTCTTTTACATAACAAGAGAAAGTGGTTAATTAACTTAAATTTGGCTGGGAAACCAAAAACAATAGCACAAGTGTCCACTTCTATTTCTTCATTGAGAAAAGTGTTCAAGTATAATTCCGCAGTCAACCAGAATTCTTTGACATGCTCGCATTCTAGAAACCACGTGATAAGCTTAGTTTTACAGAAGGAGCAAATATCCTCGTTCACTAGTTTCATCTGTTTTAGTTCATTTTAGGTGTAGATTATGCGATGTAAGAATATAAATTGGAATTCTAGTAGTTTCACATCCTTGGTGCAATACCTATAATGAAGAAATATATCTTTCAAGGGGGGAAAAAACACATTGAACCTCTCAACCCATTTGTTACACACAGGTGGAAACTCGTCACAAGCAATAATGTTATCGTAGAAAAATTTAGAACCCTTACCAGGTTTGAGAATGTCTGTTAGCTTATTACTAATCACCACATTTGAATTATTGATACTTGTTTGGTCATTGATACAATTTTTCCAACTAGGAGGAATGCAGCATAGTAATTTATGATAATCTAAAAACGTGCCGCTAATATCAAAAACATTCTTCAGTTCAGCAAAAGGCACTAAACCACTATTGCTACCTATGTCTTTTACAAAATACATTCCTTTACTATACCATTGTTTAATCAAAAATGTTTAATATTTAGAATGATGATTGAGCCATAAGGGTTGGGACAAAATATCGTTAATATTAGGAGAAATTTCTTTTTCTATTCTTACATTGTTTGCCCAAGCCTTCAAAACACTCTGCCAATAAGCGTTCTTACAGTGAATATGAGTATCAACATTGGCACCTAGTGTGAATATTTCATCTATACGAAAGTTACTTGGGTTCTTGAAATTAGGACTTTGAATACATCTTCTTAAATGTGATAACCTCAAGGCTTGAATAAATGCATTAATATCAATCTTGATGAGACCGCCTTCTTCATATTTCCTAACCATACATGTTCTCTTTATCTTATCTGGTTTCCCATTCCAAAAAACTTGAAAAAAGTTCTGTTTAGGTCATTAATAAATGTTTGAGGGGGATTCGAAAGAGAAGAGAAAATATGCACTAAGGTAGAGAGGGCTAAAGTCTTAATCACAGTTACTTTTCTAATTAGAGTTAAAGATCTATGCTTCCATGAAGCCAAGATTTTATTTATTGTTCCCATTCGCTTTTTTGTATTTATTACCAAGAGGTCTTGCAAACTTGGATTTAGTGTAATGCCAAGGATTCCAAAGTTGCCAGAGTGCCAAGCAAGGTCAAGGCTTTCACATAACTTTAACCTGTTACCTGCCATAGAGCCAATCCAGATAGCTTTAGTCTTTTCAATGTTCATTTTGAGTCCAGACATTTGATAAAACATATTCATTGTTTCCATAGCTGCATTCAGACTAGCCTCGGAGCCATCAAGAAAAAGTTGAGTATCATCGGCATATTGGCCTAGGATATACTCTTGGCCATTCAGTAATATACCTGTGATGTCTTTATTTTGTCGGATAATATAACCTAGAATTTCTGCTACAAATAAAATTAAATAGGGTGATATTGGGTCACCTTGTCTACAGCCTCGTTCATTTATAAAAGATGAAGACATATGTCCATTTTGTACAATGTAAGAGCTAGCATTTTTGGATAAGATTGAGATCCATTTTCTAAAGTTTGATCTAAAACCAATTTTTTTCCAAAACCAGCATAATAAAGTCTTTAGAGACACTATCAAAGGCCTTTTTCAAATTCTATGAGGAGTAACATTCCACGTTTATTAATCAACTTGAGTTCAAACATAATATCATATAGCAACCTAATGTTATCACTGATACATCTACCTGGCATGAAACCTGTTTGGTTCGGTGTGGATAAGATGAGGAAGAGTTTTCTTTATTCTGTTAGTTAAACATGTACTGATTATTTTATACACCGAGTTCAAGAGAGAAATAGGTCTCCAGTTTTTAAGGTATTTCCTATTTTTATTAGATTTGGGGATAC